CTTTTGCCTTCCACCACTTCCCTCTGGTGAGTTGGGGACAGGAGGAAGCCGGGCAGAAGTCCCCTTTCTGAGGGTTTGAGGACGGAGCAGTGGCTGCAAATCCCAGAGGCACAATTGTCAGCCAGGGGGACTAGCAGCTGCCCCCCACAGGTTCACCACGCCTGAGCACGCAGCTCACCCACATGGGAACCTGGTCCCAGGAATATTGAATACAGAGCAAGGTGGTGACGGGCCTGTTTTGTGGACTCGAAAAAAGAGCCCTAGCCGGTTTGGCTCAGTGGGTAGAGCGTCGGCCTGCAGACCGGGGTCGATTCCGGTCAAGGGCATGTACCTCGGTTGCAGGCTCCTCCCTGGCCCGGGCCCTATCGGATGTGTTTTCTCTCACATGCTATTCCTTTCTGTCTTTCCCTCTCTCTTCCACTCTCTGTAAAAAAAATCAACGGAACAATATCTTTGGGTGAGGGTTAAAAAAAATATATAAAAGAAAGGAAACTTGGCCTCCTCGGTGAGCGGCATCTCCAGACGGAAATGAACAAGGAGATGTTCCCAGGTAAACACATACAGTCTTGTCCCTTCTGCCTTCACCCCGGTCATGGCCAGCAGAAGGGTCACTGAGCCGGCCCTGTGGGTCTCCTCTCGGGGCGCAGGCCGGTCAAACAACACGGGGCTCCCAGCGCCGGCAGGAGCGCGCTCTGTGCCGGGCGGCGCTCGGAGCCCTGTCCTGGGATCATTTCACCTGATCCTCCTACCTGCCTCCAGGACCGCCCGTCCTGTTACATCCCCCCTTTTCTCGGACGGAGACCCCGAGAGCCCAGATGATGTGAGCCGAGTCCTGCGCCCTGCAGACGGCAGGCGCCCTCCCTCCGTGGTGCGGCCTGAGAGAGGACCGGGACCGCATTCCTTATTCATGCGCTCGCCTTTTTGGCATGGGCTGTCCTTCTCCCTTTCCTGGGAGTCACTGTCCCCGCTGTGGATGGAGAAGCGCGGGAGACAGGATCCGAAGCAGGTCTCGCGATGGAAGCGGAACAGGGCGAGCAGGAGGCGGCCGGTCCCTTCATCGTGTGACATGAAGTCGGTGGCAGAAATGACAGAAAGGAATGGTGGTGTCCGGAGAGGGGGTGGGTGCTGGGAAGGGGCTGGATGGATCAGCGAGGACTTGTGCACGTGAAGGAAGTATAGGAAGGGCCTTGGAGGGGAGGGAGAGCAGGGCATCCCGGCTCCAGGCCCTGCCCCTGTGTGGTGACGGATGGGGTCCCTTCTGGCCAATGGGAAGGTGTCCTTAAAACTGTCCCAAAGTCCTTCCTTGCTGGGCAGGTGCTCCATCCTGTGAATGGGAAGCCCCTCGCCTCGCCTTGTGCTGCCTGCATGGGTGAGGCACAGTCCGGGGGATACAGTCTGAGTTGATGACAGCCCTGCCTCCCCCTGGGAATGCCCCCCCCCCCCCCCCCCCCCC